ACACTCGTTTAATGTAATAAGATAAGTTTTATAATTCCGGTGGTAAAACCGATTTTTTTTTTTTGGGATTTACCCTAATATACATATTTACAGATGGATATCCACTCGTGCATACAAGTGTCAATGCAAACACATTCCAACAACGATTACAAAATGCTATACAAACACGAATTGGATAAACCGGACGCATAACCGGTGGCATCAATAAAACTGAATGTGAGTAATAAAATCACAAGCCGCGTTTTTTTCATTATTTTTTAATTTGATCGAATAAACACTTTGTTCTTTAATAAACCGTCATGCGTGAAATTATGATTTAAATCAAAATAATTTTCATTGCTTGAAACAATAACAAAAGTGAGCGATACCACTCGTAAAACTAGGCTGGATTCGGTAGCAAATTTAGAAGTGGCTCTAAAAATTACATAGTATCGCTACTAGGGATGTTGATTTTTCAGCTTGTTCCGATCCCGGGATTACACGGTATGTCCTCATCACAATTCCGGGATCCCGGGATTAGANATTAATAAAAATTTCTTACTCCAAAATTTAGGTATCACCCCTATTCCAAAATACGCTGGAAAGAATGGTACATTAATTGAAATTAACAAAATAAAAAATTTGTATTATATAGAAGCGTGGCAACCCTGATGGAAAATATTTTCTGACAAAAGTTTTCAACAATACCTTTCATTTGATACCCATATTGCGATGTTTTAGATAAATTGCGTAGAATCGAAAATAAGTGGCAACCTTACACTATTATCCCAAAGAGATAACATTTTGTGTATAGGGAAAGCATTGTTTAAGAACCGTCTCTTGGTACCAATGAATAGTAATGTTTTACCTTTTTTTATAAACAAAATATTAAATAAATATGCGATTCAAAACAGGTGGCAACCCTATTAAAAATATTTTTGAATTAGGGATCTTTAAAATACCTTCCATATGAGACCCGTATTATGGTGTTTAAATTAATTTGTTACTAATTTCAAATACGAGTCTTCTCGGCCTATTCAAATAACCTTAAAATCCGAAACATTATCTGTGTATAAATTTTCATCAAAATCATTAGAGCCATTTCCGAGAACCCTATGGATATTTATATATATATACACTCGTTTAATGTAATAAGATAAGTTTTATAATTCCGGTGGTAAAACCGATTTTTTTTTTTTGGGATTTACCCTAATATACATATTTACAGATGGATATCCACTCGTGCATACAAGTGTCAATGCAAACACATTCCAACAACGATTACAAAATGCTATACAAACACGAATTGGATAAACCGGACGCATAACCGGTGGCATCAATAAAACTGAATGTGAGTAATAAAATCACAAGCCGCGTTTTTTTCATTATTTTTTAATTTGATCGAATAAACACTTTGTTCTTTAATAAACCGTCATGCGTGAAATTATGATTTAAATCAAAATAATTTTCATTGCTTGAAACAATAACAAAAGTGAGCGATACCACTCGTAAAACTAGGCTGGATTCGGTAGCAAATTTAGAAGTGGCTCTAAAAATTACATAGTATCGCTACTAGGGATGTTGATTTTTCAGCTTGTTCCGATCCCGGGATTACACGGTATGTCCTTATCACAATTCCGGGGTCCCGGGATTAGATCCGCGATTTAGATATTCATTGCTTTTCTACAACTTATATCGAAAAAATTGCTTCTATATTGTTTGAAAAGCTCTCCTACCATAAAATAAATAATAAATAAATGGGTTTGCAACCTACTTTTTTATTCAAAGTGGCGTTTTTATTTACTCTCTCTGACCGCAGGATTTATTTTGAAGGACTTTGTAACTTCAAAGTTTTGATTAATTGCAAAAAAAAATTTACAAAATTCATTGCAATGTAGAATAAACGGGTGGGTACCAAATACAAGAGGAAATTTCTTTAGAATAAAAAAAAATTAAAATTTTTTGGATTCACAAGGACGAATGGTAATTTTTTTAAGCTGATAAATTTAGAAGGACGAAATTCGAGAATGTTATCGAGTTTATATAAGTCCTTAACACATCATTTTTTCAAAAATAAATATTGTGAAATTTCAAGGATAAAATTTTAAAAGGACATTTTCAATACTTACCAGTCCTTCTGCACCAAAACCTGGAATCTGTTTAAATTCTAAAGGATTTCCTCTTTAATTTTATACCCATACTGCTTCTTTAAGCATATTTCTCTAAATTTTTAAAATCATTTTTGAATTACTGACGTCAGAGTGAAAAACTAAAAACGCAATTTTACTATATTTGGCCCATGGTTTCGCGAATATATTGATATTTGTGTTTAAAACTTACTTTCGCGCGGTATTATATGTATAATGAGCTAGACATTAAAAAAAAATATTAATTATTAAATAAAAAAAGAAATATATCCAATACTGGCCCAGAAAAGGAGTTTCCATTATTGCCATCAGTGCAAATTACAAATCCCGAAAATCCCGGTATTATTTGCCAAGAATCCCGGGATTTTTGGACCTTAAAAAGGCCGCGAACCCAGGATCCCGGGATTAACATTCCAAATCGCTACAAATGTAGCCTAATGACGAGTTTCCACGTGCTATTAAATTGTAAAAGTTTTAATGACAGGCGCTAATAAATACTCGTGCTGTTGCATTAATAAAAAACTCAGTGGGCATAAGTTACAATCGGACAGACAATCACACGGCGCAGTCTTTTTATTAATTTAGAGGAAGTAGAGTCATGTCCGACCATAAAGTCTTTTACGAGCGTTTATACACGCAACTTTTACAGGGCAATTCTGGCTTAGATAGTAAAAAGGCTTTCGTAAGAAAAATGAAAGAGAGATGGCAAGTTAGTTCGAAAGACTTCAATATTTCGAAATTTAAGGACGCCCTTGAAAATAAATAACATTACTATGTAATTTTGGAAACTGGGCGTGATACCGCCCACTTATAGCCACATAACTTTATCTCGTTAAGGGTCGTTTTCTCAAGTAACTGGTAACTTTAAAACTCACTTTATATTTAAAGGTTGCAAAAAAATTTCAGAAAACGGTCTTAAGTCTGTCTAACTGAACATAATATCGAAGATGTTTGAAATAGGGGTAAAATCACCCCTGCATTGGATAGGTGAAAAAACTATATTAAATACGTGCGTCGGATATTTAAATGTTCTGCTTCACCCGAACATAGAACTTTTACTTGTCTTAATTTACTTTTCTTTTAATTATTGCATTTTTTTGTCCTAAAAAGAAAAAATATATATTCTTTAATTTCATTTGATCTTTAGAAACAGTTTTTTTTTTTTATTTTTTTTGAATATTTTATTGTTTTAAACCAAAAAAAAAATATTTTTTTTATTTTTTTTCCTAATATAATTTTCTTTTAATTATTAGATGTTATTGTTTTGAAACGTAAAATATATATATTTTTTTTTTCATTCGATTGTATAACCTTATTTTATTTATTTTTTTTTCTAAGTTGAAATTTCGTTCTATAATTCGGTTTTATTATTTTATAAAGAAAAATACTTTCTTTTAATTTCATTAAGTTTTTAGGAACTTAATTAATTTTTCTTAACTAAGTTTTTTTAATTTATTGAACAATTTTATTGAGCTTGAGGCCGTTTTTGATAAAAACTTTTGTAGAAAAACAACAGTAATTTATAAATGGTAGAAGTTATAGCTGCTATTTCGGAGATTACTACATCTCCTCATCAGACTTCTTCACTGGGATTCCCCCAGCTGAATTAGCCAGTGGTCTACCTACACGCTGTGCGAAGCTCGCCTTATAAACTGTTGTTGCTTTTTTCCACTTTTTTTCATGTGTTAAGCCCACTACAATTTATTTTTTGAATTCAATTTTCTTTTTATTTTTAGATTTTGTATTTTTTAAAAAAAGATATGTTTTTTAATTTCATTTACGTAAGAATTTTATTTTACGTTTACGTTTAGAAATTTATTTTAATTAATTTATTTTATTGTTTTAAAAAGTTTTTTTTTTATTTCACTTTCTTTTATTTTTTTTTTAGAAAAGAAAATATTTGTTTTTATTTCTTTTAATTATTGAAACTTTTTTATATCTATTTTTGCTTTTTCAACAGTTTTTATTGAGCTCGAAGCCGTTTTTTAATTTTGTTGTTTTCTTTCTTCTTAATTTTTATATTTTTTGTTTTAAAAGAAAAATATATATATGTAGATATATGTTTTTTCAATTTTATTGAACTTAAAAACTTTTCGCTAAAAGACAAACAGAATAACGGTAAGACCTCCTTGTTAGCAGATGTTTCAATTAGTCTTTCGAAAGACAATAAAAAGCTTTCACGATAGTTGCCAAATTTGACAATTATTTTACGAAAGACCTTTGTCCTGTTCCAGCTCATGTTACTAGATCAAAAATATAAGAAATATTTAGTATGAGCTAGGATGAAATTTTATATACTTTCATTCCTAGACCGACCCTGAACTATTCGAGCTGTAGAATCAATGTCATTGCATTGATTAAGATTTTAATAAGCAGAACTATACTTTTATATAGATTATAGATGACCATCAATTTAGCACTTTTTAGGCCTTCAAAGTGATTCATATATTTATATCAAATTGCTCACGGCCCTGTATGGTATGAAGTAAGTGGTCTGCAATTAAATATGTTTGCATGTACATATGTATGTATAATTGAAATTAATCGGTGTTAGTGACGATGCATTCAACTCACCTCAATTCTAATCAAAACAATGCAAATCTAATGTGTTAATATTTAGAATAATTTTTGGAGTATATGAAGCTGGAAATTACTGCACACCATGACGCTGAACAAGCCAGCCAGCCAACCTACCAATCGTATAACCATGCCATCTCCTGCATTGTAGGGCAGTTGACAAATTTGGTTACCACAGTTTGTTGCAACACGTCGATGCGTGTAGTCGAAACGCGTACGCGTGTAGGTACGACGCACATATTTTGAGCAACTTTCTAATGAGATACATACGCAAAGTTTAAATTGGATTATATCAGCATGATTTGGAGCAGCGATCTATGTTACAAGCTTTACTTCTGGCCATTTTTGAACTATCTGGCTGGTATAAAAGGAATTTGTCCATATTTTATAGGTTATTTTCCCTTTATCACACTAGCGCCGGGTACTATATTGACATCGCCTTCCACAGCTTCCACAACAACATCCACCACAACGTCCACCACAATCACGACGACGACAGCCGCTACAACGATTCCGACGTTTTCGCCTACACCGCCAACCGTGACCACCCTGCAACCGTGTCCGGCACAACCATTGGCGTGCTTGAATGGTGGCGTGCCACCAATAGCCTATTGCCCCTGTATCGATCCAAGGCTAAGTGGACTGGCGGGTGGCACTGGAACTACCGCAGCGGCACTGCTGACTAGATTCGGTCAGGCATCACAGACGCAACTCCAAAGTGCAGGACAATTGACTGATCGGCTCACATTTGCGCCAATTAATACACAATCGAATGGCGGTGCGGAAAGCTTACAACCACAAGCTAGTGGATCTTCATTGTCAAATTCATTTTTCAATTTACCGTTTGGTGTGCAAAATGGCGCGCAGTCGTCAGGACCAGTTGGCTCAGAAGTGATGGTTTTCAGTTCGCTCAGACGACGCAGGAGGCGACGAAAGTGAATGTAGGAATTGAAGTTTATGCGCAGTAATAAATTAGTAATGTAGGAATTGAATGAAGTATTAAGGGAATCATGGATATACATACATACATACATATATCTATTTATTTTGAAATCTCTGTGAACCAGTAAAAATTCAAAGCATAAAATTTTAAAATAAATAAAAAAGCGCACATTTTGGATATAAAAAATTGCCATTTTTATATTAAAGGGCGTCCCAAAAACTTGGAGCAGGATTTTTTCTGGTTTGAAAATTTTTATTGCGAGAAATTGGTAATTTTGCAAAGCAATTTTAAATTTTTTCTGATTTTTTAAAATAGTTCTACTGGAATAATCGAAATACTTCCTAAGTAAAAGATTAATGATTTTTGGTGACTTCTTTTACTGACATTAGGGCGAAACATTAGCGTGACAAGAACTGAGATTTGGTGGGCAAGTACTAGATTGGGGTACTTGAGTTCAATGAGCATTGGTATACAAAATCGGACTTTAAGTTCCGACTGTAAATGGCGAAGATGTAATAAAAAATTAAAAAAAAAACAAGCCTACGTTCGTCAAAAAAAAAAAATCGGAATGGTCTCCTGTGACGTCCGACTGTAGATGCCGAAGATATGGCGAAAAATGTAAAAAGAGGACTCCAACGTTCGACAAAAAAAATTTTAATACTTCCTTAGCAAAAGTTTAATGATTTTTGGCGAGCTTTAATTTACTCACGTTAGGGTGGTACGTTATGATTATAAGAACTGAGGTAAATGAACTTTGGAACAAAAACAAAAAAAAAAATACAAGAGCGTCGATATATCATACCTTATGGTACGACTGCAAATGTCGAAGATTTGACGAAAAATGTAAGAAGACGACCACTACATTCGGCGAAAGTTTTTTTTTCGAAATTTTCTCCTTTGAATCCGACCGTAAATGCCAAAGATATGACGAAAAATGTGGGAAGGCGACCGCTACGTACGGCAAAAAAAAAATCGAAATTGCCTTCGAATCGAAATACTTTCCCTAGCAAAAGTTTAATGATTTTTGGCGAACTTTAATTTGCTGAAATTAGGACGTTAGGATTATAGGAACTTGCGGTCAATGACGATACAAGAGTATCGATACATCATACTTTAAGATAAATGCCGAAGATTAGACGCAAAATGTAAAATGGCGGCACCCCGAATAAGGGTAAAAAAAAAAATTTCAAATTGTGTTGCAAAAATACCTTAGACTCGAAGGTCTAAGAGGGACTATTTCTCTGGTGAGGTCTAATGCATAATACATGCAAAATACATACATACATACATGTCTACTATTTATGCTCGCGGATTAAACAATAATGGTTTTCGAAAAGGTAATACCCATTATCTATACTTCCATATTCTAAGCGTTAATTGGACTATGCTGCTGTCTATGCCATAAAAATACATTTGTACAATTAGTTACGCTTCGTTTTTTACTATGTAAATGGCAGTAGTAAAATGCATTAAATGCTTTTTTTTGTTGCTATTATGTCTTTGTGTTTGTGTAATATTTATGTATGCGTTTTTTTAACGAATTTTTAACTGACCCAATTTTGTTTTTATTTTTTCGTTTTTTTCTATTTATTATTTTTTTTTTTGAAATTTTGCCACACATTCCCTCAGCACAAAATTGCGTCGATTCAAGTTTTCAACCTGGCAATTGTGTACAAATAAATTTATGTCCGCAGTTAATGCAGGATTATTATGATGCTATGAGAACTTCGTCGTATTTCAACGATTTTCAGAATTTCATTAGCGGTTCCGTGTGCGGCTTTGATGGATACACTTTTATGGTGAGTACTTACTGTTAGCTAAATGGTGCATAGTTATTTATAAGAATTGGATTTTTTGAAAAAAATATTTTTTTCACTTTTCTTTCTTAATTCAATTGACATTTCACATCAGTTATTATTTATTTTTTAACCGAAAAAAAACAAACAACAAATAGAAAAGTGGCAAAATTTTGTTTGTGGGCTCCGATTTACACAAAAAAATTGCACATAATTTTATTGAATACTTACACTGAGGAAAACGGGCTTAGGCATTTATTCTTGAATAAAGTACTAACAGACGGTTTCACCATCAAGATAAGTTTTCATATTAAAATGCTATCGTGAAACTGGCGGTAAGAGTGTTAAATATCGTTGAATTAATATGCTTCTGCATGTCCTGGAGGATTTTAAGTCTTTCCACTTACGGCTAGCCATATTTTGCTATTGCTGAGAAATGCGGGATAGCGTGTGTTAGCAAAAACTTCAGCCCGAAAAGTGCTTAGTGATCGAACAGACCTTTCGGGTGGGGATCAGTCTACACAATAATTTTTGAGATATCCGTAAATATACAAGGCATATTTTGTTCTTTTTATAATTTTTATTATTTTTTTTTTGATTTGATTATGTATTTACTTTTTTTAATTTTATTGTTTTAAATATAATTTTTTTTTATTTCATTAAATATTTAGAGTCGTATTTTATTTTTTTTTGTCTTTTAGTTAATTTAATTTTTTTTGTTTTAAAAATAGATTTTCTTGTTTTTTCATTGAATTTTTAGAAAATTTGTTTACTTATTTTTTCTTTTTTAGTTAAATATTTATAATTTAATTTTCTTTTATTTTTTAGGTTTTATTGTTTAAAAAATATGTATGCATTTTCTTTAAATTGAATTTTTAGAAAACTCATTCATAAAAGACATACAGAATAACGCTAAGACCTCCTCGTCAGCAGAGCTTTTAAAATAGCTGCTAAAACTGATAATTATCTTACGAAAAACTTTTGTCTTTCGAAGGACTGGGGTGAGTTGGTGTTTCAGTTGTCAGAATTGCGCTGATAGATTCTGCGAAGCGTTTAGTAAAAGCAATAACCTTCCACAGTTTCAAAATGGAAACACAGTAGAATGTATATATTTGGTGTATTATTGAATAAGACCATGGATCATTNAAAACTTCAGCCCGAAAAGTGCTTAGTGATCGAACAGACCTTTCGGGTGGGGATCAGTCTACACAATAATTTTTGAGATATCCGTAAATATACAAGGCATATTTTGTTCTTTTTATAATTTTTATTATTTTTTTTTTGATTTGATTATGTATTTACTTTTTTTAATTTTATTGTTTTAAATATAATTTTTTTTTATTTCATTAAATATTTAGAGTCGTATTTTATTTTTTTTTGTCTTTTAGTTAATTTAATTTTTTTTGTTTTAAAAATAGATTTTCTTGTTTTTTCATTGAATTTTTAGAAAATTTGTTTACTTATTTTTTCTTTTTTAGTTAAATATTTATAATTTAATTTTCTTTTATTTTTTAGGTTTTATTGTTTAAAAAATATGTATGCATTTCCTTTAAATTGAATTTTTAGAAAACTCATTCATAAAAGACATACAGAATAACGCTAAGACCTTNATTTTCTTTTATTTTTTAGGTTTTATTGTTTAAAAAATATGTATGCATTTTCTTTAAATTGAATTTTTAGAAAACTCATTCATAAAAGACATACAGAATAACGCTAAGACCTCCTCGTCAGCAGAGCTTTTAAAATAGCTGCTAAAACTGATAATTATCTTACGAAAAACTTTTGTCTTTCGAAGGACTGGGGTGAGTTGGTGTTTCAGTTGTCAGAATTGCGCTGATAGATTCTGCGAAGCGTTTAGTAAAAGCAATAACTTTCCACATTTTCAAGATGAAAACACAGTAGAATGTATATATTTGGTGTATTATTGAATAAGACCATGGATCATTGAAAGAATATAGGATACCCCCATTTCCGTATATCCGCTCTTACCATAGACACAGTTCCGGAGGGGGCAGTGTGGTAAGCACTCTCCTTTATAAAAATATCGATAATCGATGGCTTAGGACAGATGCAATTTAAGGCTTTCGTTCGGCATGATCTGCTCATCCCAGTTGCCGCAATTCCGGCTGACCTTTATATCCACCCTCTGCAGCATTGCATGGTTACTTTGTCTCAACAGTTTTCTACTGAACTAGCGGGCTGTATGCAATAATTGGGCGAATTGCCACCAACATGGATATCTATGACTGGAGATAGTAGATTGAAGAGGCACCAAATTCGAGCTCTCAGCCGGGTGATCTCACCGGGTAGGAGTGGACTTGATACTCAAAGAGGAGCAGAGGAGTTATCTACCTGGTTTGCCAAGGCACCGACCAGGACCAGTTGGGACAGCCGCGCAATAATTTCAACCCAATCTCCAAGATCGGCTTTCCCTCGTTGAAACCTCTTTCGGTTGTGTTGTAGAACCTCTTTCAGTTTACCACCACCTCTATTTTGAGCAGCCTGTTAAGCCGGCCAAACACTGCCTCATCCATCGCCCCCTCGAAGCGAGTTTTTCCTCCAGCACGGTTCCACTGTCTCTGTTATTTTCAAAGTTAAGTTCGAAAAAAATGTTGCATGTGGTAATTTTAAATAGACATTTTATTTTTGTTTATAGTTTTATTAGTTTGTTTATTACGGAAGTATATGTATGCTACATTAGACTGCATCACTCCCCATACAAAAAAAAAATCGGTACTATTTTTCCATTGGAATTATAAAATCTATTATATTTTAAGAAGTCCACCAAAATATTTCGAAAAAATATTAAGATTTAAGTGAGCTGGACATATTTCAAAATACCTCCAAAAATGGAGTTTTTTATGAATAAAAATAGTTTCTTAAATTTTTTTTTTTGAAAAAATCCTCTCAAATGACAAAACGGTTTAAGCTTAAAACACTTCTTCAACTCTACAAATTCAGGTCTGTTGTGCCCTGACCCGCAATCTACAAAGCCCAGCAAAAACTATCCCTTTCAATCCCGTCGCTACACAACAACAGAGTGGACCAAATACATTGACATTTAAATTTTCATCGCTCAATTCGAATGCCGGCATACAAACATCGCCACAAATTAATCCAACGAGTATGCCATCACAATTAGTAACCCCAGCGCTAATATTTCCAACGAGCGTGCAGCCAGTACCCAGCAGTACAATAGGCACTGGCATCTTGCCAACCAACCCCAACCGGCCAGTTGTGGTATTGCCACCTTCAATTCCAAACAACGTCAATTCCACAGTTGTAAATATACCCACGCGCTTGCCATCGTTGAGAGGGCAGCAAAGTTGCGGATTGACTTCAGCTTATACAAATAAAGTTGTTGGTGGTTCAGAAGCTAGTCGAGGTAAAAAGAAAAAAAAATTGATTTTAAAAAGTCAAGTTGAAATATGATTCCTGTGACATTAATCATGCATTTCAGGCGCCTATCCATGGCTCGTCGCTTTGGGCTATCGCGACGAATATAAACCGGATGCTTTGAAGTTCCTTTGTGGTGGTAGCTTAATCTCAAGTCGCTATGTTTTAACCTCTGGACATTGCATCAATGCCTTGCTGAGCACAGTACGCCTGGGTGCACATGACCTTGGCAATGTTAACGAAGAGGGTGCCATAAATATATCGGTTGAAAGTAAAATAGTGCATGAGCAATATAATGAGCGTTATGTCGTTAATGATATAGGATTGGTTAAGTTGCGCGCAGCAGCGCCAAATACAGGTAAGGGAATACTTCACTTATTTACATGTTAGACTGTCTCACGCCCTATAGATAGCTGCATTGTCAGAAAAAAGCTCGGATACCAAGTATGTGTAAGAGACTTCTTCATATGCAATGTGTTCTTCCATAGATTTTGTTGTAAAAAATTTTAGGCAGAAAACTTATAAGCCAACAATTTATATCACTTAAAAAAAAATAAAATAGCGTCAACAGTGACCAGATCACGATAGACCACGAGCTAAGCTGAATTGTTTTAAGAAAAAACAAAACTGAGGATGGAAAGAAATAAGGTTCCTATAGTACCTTGAACACGGAATTAAGTCCAGACGTGCGTAAAGTTTTGAAATTTGAATGAAAAGTGCGTTAAAAACGGTCGCAAAAGATTACTTACTTATGTATATTGGTCTATCGAAAAGGATATTTCACTTTAAAAGAGGGTTTCAGATAAAACTTTTATGTAGGAAAACGCCATATTTAGAGTTACATATTTCCAAGAGGCCCAACGCTGGAATTACCCCAAATTTTCGATAAAACTTTTTTGTGCGTGCTATTAAAAGCACATCGAAGTTTATGATTCGCTTGGGTAAACAACCATTTTTTTTCTTATAGTGCGGTAACCTAATATAGCTGCGTTCCATAGTAAGATAAAAATTTAAAACATTTACCTATCTTTTATTTATTTTCACAGCATATATTGGCCCAATTTGCTTGCCTGATGGAGAACGCTTCGAACAGAATTTTGTGGGCATGAACCCATTTGTTGCTGGCTGGGGTGCAGTTAAGTTTCAGGGTCCAAGTTCAAATGTTTTGCGTGACGTTCAAGTGCCCATTGTGAACCAGCAGTCTTGTGAACAGTCCTATAGTTCTGTGTTTCAACATATTGCATTTACTGATAGGGTGAGTTTTACAAATACATACTAGTTATATGCATTTATTCTTCTTTTTCGCTTTAAATAAAATAGGCCAGTTCGCTGAACGCACTGGAGAGTACTCTAGTGCAGCAAAAAGCGTTCGATCAGAGTTTTCCTTGCACCAAAGGAATGTATTTTTGTGCGCTAATTGTCAGACGTTGTCCAGCGCTGCACTGTTCTACATTGTTAGTGCACTCATCGAACAGACCTATTATGTCTAATACATATATATGTACAGGGGTGGGCGATCGCAATGTTACAAATTAAAAATGGTACAGTTTTGTATACTTTTCTAAAAAACGTAATTTCATCATGAAAAACTTTTAAAATTTTAATAAAAGTGTATTAAGGTTCGAAGTAGCCATCATTAGCGCGGATAATAGCATCGAGTCTGTTCGGGAATCTTGCGCAGGCTGCACAAATGTGGTGTGGTGGTATTTTGTCCCAATGGTGGCAGAAAGAGCAATCTTCAGGGCGTTGACTCTCTCATAAGTATTTGTTAGTTGATGCTTTTGCCTCAATAATGATTTTTTAAGTCCGGTGAATATGGTGGCCATTGTAGCAAAGAAATGAAGCTGGGAAGTTTTTTTTTTCTAAAAAACGCTGGATTTCGCGAACTTTACGCGATAATTCTGAGTCTTATTGAAACGCCCAATGATTTTTTACCGAATTGTTTTCATGCTCAAGGTTACAAAGGTGATTACATCGAACAGTAATACAATTTTTAAGCGACTTTACAAAAAGGAGAAGGTTATCAATTCGTTGGAATATTTTTTTTTTGTTTTTATGTATGTTACCGCATAACTTTGGACCACGTTAACCGATTTCTATAATTATTTTTTTAAAGGAAAGGTGTTACCTCACAGTTGGTCCCATTCTAATTTGGTTTAAACCCCATAATTAGATCATGAAGAGATTAACGATAATTTTAAATTTTTATATGAGAATTGAAGTCGGTTTTGTTTTTTTCTTAAAAATTACTTGTTTTTTGTTTTTAATTTGAGCTGTTTTTATGATGAACGATGTTAAAAAAAAATAGACAAAATAGCATTTTTAATTGGTAGCACTTCGAGTGCCTACCCCTGTATTTCGACGGCTGAGTGTAAGATCGACCTATCTCGACAGCCGGTCAAGAATGCCCTATCTCAGAACTTGGAAATATACTTAGGTGTACGTGGCGTATGAGGAACATTCTTGCGTGCTAAATTTTCATACAAATAATCTTGCGCATTTTTATTTGACCACTCATTATTTCGGATTTATTCATCGATTTTCTTCATCAGTAACGTGATTTTTTTTTTGTAACAGAACAGGCTTTAGTAAAAATGCAAAAATTTGGCACAGAACCTGTAATTTTTTAAATTTTTCTTCTGGTTAAGTTTGATGTGTTTTTTACATTTTTTCATTAAAAAATAAAAAAAGCTGGAATGATTAATTAATTTGTCAGAAACTATAAGCCCTATCGGAAAGTGATGTACATATATACGGTTTATGGAGAATTTCATTGGCTTTCATTTGCCGTTACTTATAAATTTTAATTGGTTTTTAATTTTTAAATTGGTTCGTAAGATATCCATGATTAACCGGAATCAATTTTTGCCTTAAGCTGAATGACGGTAAATTACCATAGGCGGTGAGCGTGCATGGTCAACGATGCGTGCGCGCTGTGACAAATATTGCTGTAAGTAATAAACAGAAATTATCCAACAAAATGTTTTTTTTTAGAAATATCTTCTTCAATAAATGCAGTTTTCAAAAATATAAACGAAATGGAAAAAACTCGTTGAGAACATATTTTTAATGCAACTTGAATATTTAAAATGTTTTAATTAAAAAAAAATAAATTTCTAAATTATAAAATTATTTTGTTTTTAAAGCTCCAATGTAATGTCACTTCGCTTACAAAAAAAAATTTCATCAACTTTCGTCAAATACTTAAAGAGAAAATGAGCTTTAAATAAAAGATTGCTTAAAAATGTAATTGCTTATAAAAACTTTAAAAATTAACACCGAAATACATAAAAAAATAGAAAAGACTATAACTGATTTATCAATCGAAAATTTGTATGAAAATGTTACTTTATAGAGCTCTATAAATCTATTTTATTTTTTATGAATAAGACCATAAAATTCCTTCTTCAACCAAACTGTGAGATGGGGCTTTTTCGAACCCTCTGCCGAGATAGGTCGATAGGTTCCATGCATGCACCCATCTTTCTTAAATTTAAACTAAATTACCATGAATCGTTTTTTTTTTTTGAAAATTGTTTAATACGTTTTTCCCCTAATTCAGTTCATCTGCGCTGGCAATTCTTATGTGGATGCTTGTCAGGGGGATTCCGGTGGGCCACTGATGATGCCGATGGTAATTATAAACATTTAATTTGAAGTTTATTTTTATATTTTTAAATCGTGTTGCTTGTTAGACCCCAATGCCTGTATGTGTTCATATGTATATACACCTACATATAAGTGATTCACATGCTTGAAAGTTCCTTGCCATTACCAAATTTTATTAGTGTTTTATTCGAATGTATTTATTTATTTAGTCATTGTCGTATTCATTTTTTACTTTTCAATAAATGTTCATACATACATACATACATATGATAAGTACTTGCTGTTTGTGATTTGCTCTCATTACCCACAACTTAGCTGGAGAATGGCGCTTATCATTATTACATACTTGGCTTGGTTTCTTACGGTTACGAATGCGCACGAGCTGGATTTCCAGGAGTTTACACACGTGTGGCTTCCTATTTACCGTGGATTCGTAGTCACATGACTTAACGATGAGTTTAAGATGAGTAAAATTGGTATTAATGCGTTTAATGTAAAAAAATATTTTGGAATTTAAAGTATGTAATAAAAATCTGTTTTTAAGTAGAAGTTTTATCACATTTTGTCTTTATATTAAGAGATGGGTTCATCTTAGATTCTAATAGCCTTATTCATAAAAGATTAAGTAACTTTTATGTAAATATAATATGTGGAAACGGTTTAGAACAGATGACTTGTTTTCTGAGTACCGTGTCTGGAAGAAAGACGTAAGCAAGGCCGTCCGGACCCAAAAAATGAAATATTACGAACACAGGTTTAGTGTTGCAGTGGGTTCCAAGCAAACCTGGCAACGGGTTCTGAATTATTTGCTAGTTGTGACAGTGTGTGTAAGAAAAAACTTAACGTATTGCAAGGTATATATACAGCATAAAACAACGTGCCCCCATATCTTATTTGGCTTTTAAAGTTTTGTCCATATCATTTGAAAATCTTTTAAATCTAAAGTGTCTTACAATGCTGCTCAAAATCTTGGTTACAAATGAGCTCAATTACCTTAAAAAGCTATAACTAAAATTAGAGTCGACTATGAATATGCCAAAAATAAGTATCGAAAGGTAAAATAATAAAAGTCTTTATATAAATACATTTTATAAACCAGAGTTGGGCAAAGTGGCTCCCAGGAGCGTAATAAAATCCCTTTTACCCCGAGAACTGCTTCACCTCTTGCGTAGCACTTGCTGACTCTTTGACTGCCTTAAGGGGAAAAAATCTGCCCATCACCGGTATAAACGATTTGAAGGACTTGAAAACACTTTTTTCCGGCAGTGACACTTTTTTGCGACTTTCGCAAAATTTTCAGCTTTAACATTGATCAAGACGATACGTTTGTAAGTGTGTTTGTCAACATTCATACATGTTCATATATTAATTTGAGATTGCTTGAGATTACCTAGCTTTCTAGGAGAACTACTGATGTGCTTGCTGCTGCAATCGTTTGCAATAACAGCAACAACATTAGCGGCAATAATCAAAACAAAACACAATTTATAAGCAATGTATCTTATAGTTATTACTTGTGTGTGAATGCATTAAGTTATACATATATATATATGTATGTATGTATGCACATATGTGATCAAATCAGTCGATGAGCTACATCCAACATTATAGTACTAGAGAATGAAATATGTCATATTTAAGCTGAAATCAATTGAAAATGGCTTGGCAGTTTATTTTACATAGATTTCACTTTTATTTCTAATTTTAAAAAGGGATCGCTATCAACAAAGGCAAATCAGATTCCACCTTGACCAATATAAAAATCGCGTCAAAGCCGATTATAAATATAAACTGAAAGATTAATTCAATACTTCATCCCTGCCGAGAAACAGGCGTCTTAATCCAAAAGACTTAGAAAATTTGATACATGGAAAGAATGAGCTATCGGTCATTGTAGTAAAATTTTTTAACTGCCGCCCAGATGAGACCTGGTTATCGATTACATACGAGCTGAAGTAGAATTTCACAGGCCTTTCGGTGTCATTCTCTCGTCGAGAGCAACTGTATACCGATGGCTCCAAAATGGAAGCAAAGTCGTGGAGATCAAATCCATCTGCCCGATTTTCGAAGTGCTTTCCAGGCACAAGTATTCGCTATAGCTAAAGGTTTACGTCACAGCGAGCGTGTCGCCACTTTTTCGGGATAGGCAGGAGGCCATTAAAACCCTGACATCTTTTAAAACATAGTCGAAACTGATCAGGGAGTGTAGGACTCTTTTAAACGCCTTAAATAGTTAGTTCGATCTAGATTTAGCTTGGGTCAATGGTCATTACAAAACTCTCGGAAATGAGGCTGCAGAAAAGTAAGCCAGAGGGTTGGTCTCGATCGAGTATTGGAACACACCGTCTAATTGGAAACATATTCAGAAATGGGATCAAAGGTGGTATATAGCGGCGGCAGGTGTCGTATATGCAAACTCATTTGGCCCAGCTACAACCCTGAGAGAACGCACAACTTATTAAGAAAACCCAGACCTGATGTTGCGCGGCTAGTAGTGGTCGGCACGCACGCCAGAAGGTTGGTCATCAGTGGGCCATTTCAACGTCACTCCTATACGTATGTATGTATGTATGTGTGTATATAAAACTTCATTAAACAATAACGGAATATTTACATGCTTAGTGTAGCGAACCTATAAAATTTATTTAATCAGAATTCACTCGTACTAAGTCAATTGCAATTACATACTCGAATTAAATATTAACTACTGATATTGTTGCTAGTGTATTTTTATTTTTTATTTTTTTTGAATTCATGAAGATGCGCTGAGAGAAATGCAATTTGGTGAAGTCCAAACGTATGGGTTTTTCGTTTTTAACAAATCTACAAATAATAATTTTCCGCTGCATTTGCTAATACAAAGTCAATCAGGCATACTGAGTGCAAAATTTTTCATTAGTGTGACTCTAGAATAGTTTGTGCCTAATCAAGGTTTAGTATAGCTCCGGTTTTCCGCAAGTATAGTACCCAGCGCGGTTACGGTCCAGTAAATTGTGAATCGATTGCATTTGTTTATCATAAATCGCTGACGAATTTAAAGGGAAGAAAGGCAGCAACACAAAAAAAAACAACAACAATGTGGACCATAAAATATGCAATCGTGCTAATTGTTGTTATATGTGAAACAACTGCGCATCGTTGGATGGCCTATCAAGGTGGGGAACTTTCAGATGTTTAGCCTATGGTTTTAGTTACGAAAGTACTTACATATGTATGTATACACGGATTTTTAGTGCCAACAAATAACGCTTGCCAAACGCCACTTGGCGATTGGGGTATGTGCGTCTCATTGAAATACTGCCAGGAAGTCTTGAGATTGTACGAAAAACTGTCTGTAGATCAAGCGACCAGATATTCGAAGGCGCTACGCAATATTTGCTATAATCGTGTGACTCACGACAACTACCCGATTGTAAGTTTTAATGGCTAATATAATACAGATATGGTTTGTAAACTTTCATATTTACGTAAATGTGGATCTTTAGCTTTGCTGCACTCGCCCAGTCTTCGAAGATACAAATCAAAATGATAATCATATTCTTCCCACTGCAACGATGCCAACGTCAGCAGATGAACACCAGCCGACAATAAAAACTACGACCACAACAACAGTCGCCTCTCAAACAAATAGCGATGATGAACGTTCAGCGTCGGATGACAAAAACTCGCCACCGGAAACTTGTCGAGTGCCACACGATGGCAGCGATGGCACCTGCAAACGTGAGTTGTTTTGCTCTAACGCCCTCTGTGTTTTTATAACTTGCGCGCAGTATGACCAGCTTAAGCTTTCTGATGCTAGATTTAGTATTGTTTTTTTGTACTAAACTCGGAATGTAAGGTTTAGCGTGGTGGCCTTTTTCTACTACAAGTATTTTTTTTTGTTTAAGTATTAATTTTATATACATACATATACATACATATTTTTAAATAAAGTACGGGTAAGGTATAAGTAAAAAATACTTACTTTTTTGATAGCAAAAACAAAGACCTAAAAGCAGAGAACTCTGTAAAGGCAAATTCGGCCAGAGAGTAATTCGGATAATATTTTTTTTTATACCAGACTGGATCAGTAAGTTCGCTACTTTTTGAACTTCGCACTGCTACTCGAACGAAACACTTGAAAAAATCCACGATATGGTAATGAATGAACGAAAAATGAAAGCGTCCGAGTGTAAAAAAGTCGCATGCATATCAAATGGCTCAATGAATTCGATTTCGAATGACTATGTAGGTATAATAAAACTATTGACACAATTAGTCACAAACGCAATCGTGTTAGAAATTCGAAGGGCTTTTTGGCGCCATGGAACCGCTTACAGAACGAATTCTTGTCACGTTTATGACCATGGCAAAGCTTTGATTCATCACAGCTTATCGGAGAACAATCATTAATCAAAGCAGAATAGTCTTCACGGGTAAATTAGCACCGAAGAAGGCAAGGTGAAGGTAACTAGGTTAAGCCGAAAGTTTTTGGAGAAGCACATAGCACGTTTCAAACTGTTTGGAGAGGAAAAGAAACATTCTACAGCCAACTATTTGAAATATCTATTTATTTGGAGAAAAAATTACCGCATTTGACGAAGTAACGAAGTTTACTTCCATCAATCCGCCAGTCGAATGACTTTTGTCGCGATGTAGAGGAAGTACAAAGATACCTATGACACTGCCTCACGTTACGAAGATCCTGTCGACATTCGATCCATCGTCACTTCCTTGAGTGTCTGCCTGAGTTAAGCACAGCTAGCATCGTCGATTTTGTGATATTCATCGGAACGACGAATTTGTTTTCAATTCTAGGACAATGAAATAAATAGAGCCCCACTACTATGGCATCACAATGGAGCCATGGCGGCCTCAGAGTAAAACTGCACATAAAGCTTTTCAGGCGTACAGCGATTTTTATACCACCACCACTTATTCAGATATAAATTTTATATTGCGGCCTAAAAAGCTTAATCTGGAGTTCTAACTTAACCCTTACAACGCTGTTTCAGCGACGATAACCTACCTACACCATTCGTCGGAATACGGATTTGGATTTAGCTCCCAGTGATTATCTGTTGTTTTAAAACCTAAATAAATGCGCCTGGGAAAGAACTATGAAATTCTTGTTGTAAGAAACACCTATTTTGGAGATCTCAAGATATCATATTACTAAGAGACTTTACTTCTGCTCCTTCTTCAAGATTAACACTGTAAATGCCTAATGCATTTCTGGCCCAGCCCCATGAAGTACGCCAGTCATTTCTTTTCTATGGCAACTGGTGCTAATTGGAAATGCAAGAGACTTGTCTTCAAAAATGAAATCCTCGCTCAAGAATACGTCTAAAAAGTCAGGGACTTATTGAGGCGCTCTCGTAAATACCGCTTCAGTATAAAAGTCCTAATTTCTTGTTAACCGCTTTTATGCCGCTTCCAACTTT